TAAAGAAGAAAAGGAAAAGATGTATTTAGTATCTTGTCTGCATATTTGGAAACCAAAGGTCTCTTGGCATTTGTACTGATGGGACCACATTAGTCGTTGACTCCATGAAAAGTTTTACTTATTTTGTTATTTAAAAAAAGAGAAAGAAAAGGAAAGAAAAAGAAGATCCCGACATCACAATATAATGATTTCTTTAAAGGAAAGGTCTGGCATCAAAACTCTTGGGGATAAAAATGTTAAAGTTTTGGATAATATTACAAAAAAAAAAAAACAGTTCAATGTATCTGTGGGGTCTCAGAAAGCAACACAGAAAATGCTGCTCTGGCACATACTATGTACCACACACCATACCTCCTTAACACACTGAACACACCGTGTAGTAGAATTTTGGTAAGACTTTTAATCCCACTTGGATAAGGTTTAAAAAGAAAGACACTGAAAAATAAAATAAACCAAAGTTTCCTCTCATCCATTCTTGATTTGCATTAGAGTTCTTTCTCTGTAAGTAGGGGAAACCACACAAAAGGGATAGGCTAGCAAGGCCATTTAGGTTGATAACAGTCTGGGAGGGAGAGGAATCCAATAAAGCCAGTCTTTGATGAAAGAGGAGGCTTGACCTGGTGTAAGTGACTTCATGTGTATTACAGCATTTGTAGTGTTAGTACGAGTGCCTTTTCATACCTCAAGACTGAAAGATCCTTAAAGGTAAAGAATTTTGCATCCCTGATACCTCCTAGTGGACTTGATACTCAATAAGTGTTTGTGGAGGATGGATGAATGGATGGATGGATAGATGGACAGACAAATAAACTATCAAGTTTGAAAGTATCTTAGAAATATGTATCTTTCACAGTATCTAGTAGAAAATGTCCAACAACAAAAAGCCCTCTTAGAATATATCTCTTCTAGTCAATTACTTCAGAAATGGAGCACTGTGAAAATAGCACATACTCTGAAGTCACACAGATTTAGATACCTGGCTCTGTGTGACCTTTTGCAAGTGAGTTATCCCAAGTCTCAGTTTCCTCACCAATAAAATTGGGCAATGAAACAATTTCCCAAGAGGAATCATGGGTGGCATTCATTATTTTGATGAAGGGGCTCATGGACAGGCCCTGGTTCCTAGCCTGATAGTAAAACACTTCATTTCATGAACATGTGGGGAGGGAAGTCATTTCCCAGATAAAGACCCATATTAACCAAGGGAGAAAGGCAGATAGATAAACCAGAAAATAATTTACCAGGAGAATTAAATTGTAACTGAAAGAGTTCTGGGATCGGGCAAGGGGATTTGAGCAACATCCTGCATGTAGTGATGGACCAGCCACTGGGAAACCTTGAAAGTACTTGGATGGTCATTGACAAGATTTGTCTCTGTCAAATTGTTTTTGAACAAGTTTATACATCTTTACTTTGTGGCATTCTATAGTTGAGTTTCAGTGGGTATCTTATGTTCCTTGCTTCCAATTTTGGGGGAGAAAGGCTCACTTCAAGTCCTAAAATTCTAACAATAAAGAGAACAATAACTTTCCCCTCAGTGTAATCTGCACATTAGCTGCAAGTGTCTCTCGGCCCCTCAAGCTCTGGGTCAGATGACTTATCTCCCCAATCTCATAGCCTGGAAAATCCAAAGACTATCCCAGATTTCAACAAATCCTTGGGAGATTTGTGTTCTCATGGCCTCCTCTCCCTGCCGCTTCCTCATGGTCTCTGCTCAGCATTATATCAATCCAGAGATTAATCACAGCTTCTTCTCCAGTTTCCATCAAAATAAAAAACAAAGACTGCCACTCACACAAAACCTTTGTGACTAGGCTCTCCTAAAGAGCTGGGAAGGGAGGGGAAGGACACAGGAGGGGCTCACATGCACGTGGTACAGCAAGCTGTTTAAAAGCCACACTAGGTGTTTCTATTCATCTAAAGTCTCTTCTGACCACCCTGACACCAGGGGTTCGTGTCCTGCCTTTTCCACCCGTAGCCCCTGGTCTCACTTCCCCACACTTCTGTTCTTCTTTCCTTCCCTTCTCCCTCCTCTGTTCTCTCTCTCTAGAATATCAGACTTCCTTTCACTGACTCATGCAAAGGTTCCACCCCAGGTCTGGAACCTCCTCCACAGCTGAAACCCAGGCCTGAGGATTTCACCGTCCAGCATTGATCAAGGTTGTATTCCAAAGAAAGACTTCCTTTTCAAGAATGTTGGGGCCATCTGTTAATAAATAAAAGTATTCCTTGCATGACTGAAAAGTGCCTGGGATATACGTTCAACAAATAAACCACCTACTTCTTTTGTTCGTCTCCATTTATGCAATACAGAAATCATGTATGCAGTACAGATTATTGTTGATCAACAATAATCACATCATGACTCTGTTGTTTCTACTCCTCTCCACATTCCTATGTGGGCTGAGAGGATATTCTCAAATAAAGTTCTTGGTACCTGTCTTTCCTCCGTGACTGTAGGCTTTCAAAGACTTTCTGGTGCCAAATACTGATTCCCCAATTTACTAGCCTTCTGATCTTGTGCAAATTGCTTAAACCCTCTGGTCTCAGTTTCTCTATCTTTAAATTGGGGTGATAGATCATCTTATAGACTTCTTGGAAGGATTAAATTAATTAATTCAAGTAAAGTACTTAGTATAGAGTAAGGGCTCGTCAACCCTTACTTCTACTTTTTTTTTTCCCTCTTGTGAATTCCTTCCTAACTGGAATAGTGTGACTTTATCAATCTAAAGACAAGAGAGCTTAACCTTTGCACTTTAGTGAAGCAAGCCTTGAGCTAGAGACTAGACTCCACACTACATCTTGAAGTGGCAGGGTTGCGGTCTCAACGTGTTGGTAGCCTGGGCCACAGAGCATGGCCAGGCACTAACTCAGTTGGGGCTTGCCTTTAGAGAGGCAGGGGAGAATGGGGACGTGATGAGGATATAATCCAAACCAGAGTAGCCGAAACTAGGAAAGATACCAACTGCCCTGAGTCTAGTTCATTTCCAGGCCAGAGGAGTTAGGTCTCAAGCCTGGAGGGTCCCGATGTTGACTTGACTCCTTGACTCTAGCTCCCACTAGATCTGTCCTACATCTGACGTGACTCTCTCAGAGGCCCTTTAAATTAATTTCCCTGGTTTCACAAGAGGATGGGAAGAATGGCAATGCCACGGACCCTCCCAGGGAGGCTGCCCCCTGCTGTCTGCAGTTCTATGAATAGACAGACTCTTTGATCAAGAGGACAAAGTGGTTCATCTGGTTCAGGTTGTTTTCTAGGTCATATCTCCGTAACCCACCCATCCCTTGGAGTCTCCGCCCCTCACAGGAACAGGCTGGTCAGATTGCTTGCTGCAGCCTCTGGAAAAATAAGATTAGGAATGGAGTGGGAGAGCAAGGCTTGGGTTGGGTGAAACCAGCATCTCCCAAGGTGGGCAAGGTGAGGGGGAGGAGGAGGAGGGAAACGAGCTGCTGGGCCAGATCCGCAGGGCGCATCTTGAAGAGGGGAAACCAGGTGTGTCTTCCTCTTTACAGGGGACAGAATTGCCTGGGCCTGGACACAAGGGGGTGGGCAGTGCAGAGAGAGGGAAAGAAGAGATAGCCCACTTAAAAATTACTGAAAGGGCACATATCTACACAAAATCATCGGGGATCCATCCCCTACCCCATATACAGGTATATTATCCATGTGGCTTTTTTTGTTATTGTTTCTGAGTTGGCGTCTCACTCCGATGCCCAGGCTGAAGTGCCGTGACACACTTGCCGCCACCCCAGTGTCGATCTGCTCAACTCCGACGATCCTTTCGCCTCAGCCTTCCAAGTAGCCGGAACTACAGGCACGCACCACCATGCCCGGCTAATATTTGATTTATTGTAGAGACGAGGTCTTGCCAAGTTGCCCAGGCTGGTCTCAAACCTCCCCTGGTCTCAGGCAATCCCCTCACCTCGGCCTCCCAAAGTCCTGGGATTAGCCACTGAGCCTGGCCCCATGTGGCTTTTTAAGCTCTCCCTGGAGTCTTGAGTCTCCCTTTTTGTGTCTTTTGAGTTCCTGCTCATTATGTTCCCATAGCTGTGTCCAGTTGAGGGCCGAGGAATAGGGAGAGATCTCAGCTGTGTGTTTTAAGTTTCTAACCCTGAAGAAGGTTCTTGCTCCTTGATGCATTCTGACCCATTCAACAGCCACACCCTGGTCCTCTGCAGAAGTGTGCGCTTAAAGGAGGAAGCAGGGCCATCTGGGAAGTGAACTCAGCCCAACCTGGGAAGTGAGCGCATGGGCAGGTGGAGAGTGACCACTAAGAAACAGAAAGCGTCCTGGGCACTTTATTCAGGAGCTTACTCTAGTGACTCTACCCTTTCCAGTGGGCTTAGCTGTCTGCCAGAGAGTCCAATTTTATCATCTGGAGGGACATCTAGGGCTGGAAGGACCTTGCCCTCTCCTCCTTGGCCCTGGGGTTTGAGGCTAGAGCCCATGCCCGCCGGAGGCCCACCAACACAAAGCATATCAAGCAGAACTCTTCTCTGAGAGCTTGGAGGAGGGCCTGGGCCAAGTTGTGCCTAAGGTTTTACTTTTCTCAAAGTGCTGCTACTCAGCTCCCTACAGCACATGGGTCCCTGTTCCGTTAAAACCCCAAATGAAGCTTCACACCCCAGTACTTATCCCAGGCAGAATCCTAAGCATCCCAGCCCTCACCCAAACGGGAGAATTTGGAAACGCTCCCTGGGCTTCCTCCCAGCTGAGTCTCAGCCCCGGCCCTAGGGGAAGGTCCCCAGCGATCTGCGGGAGGTCGGGGGACGCCGGCTGTGGGGAAATTCGGCCGCGGTCAGGCGGCCGCGCGCACAGGAGCAGCGTGACGCCGCGTCCAGGGAGTGCGGGCGCCGGGAACCGGGACGCGCCCTGCGCTCCCCCGCGCTCCCTGAGTCCCTGGGCCGTCGCCAGCCCTTCGCGGCCGGCGGGGGCGAGGGCGGGGACGGAGGGCCGCCTTTTCTGACCTGAGGAGGAGTGGCCGCGGTGGAGAAGGTCACTCGGTTGCTGGACCGGCTGCTGTCACACGCGCTCCGCGCCCTGGCTCCGCTCGCCCCTGCCCTGCGCGCACCCTGGCGCACCGCGTGCACTCCCGCTCTTGGACTAAGCTCCGAACCTCCGTAGCTGCCGAAGCTGGGAGCATCTCCCCGTCGCCGCAGCCAGCAAGCTCCTCCATCCCCCATCAGAGAGGCCACATGGGCCCCGAGGTCACCTGCCCGTGGAGGGGCCACCTGCCTCGCTTCCAGGCGAGGACCTGGATCGAGCCCGTAGTGGCCTCGTCCCAGGTGGCCGCCTCCCTCTACGACGCGGGACTGCTCCTCGTGTTGAAGGCGTCCTTCGGAGCCGGAGCCTCCTCCAACCACAGCGCCAGTCCATCGCCCCGGGGGGCTCTAGAGGACCAGCAGCAGAGGGCCATCTCCAATTTCTACATCATCTACAACCTCGTGGTGGGCCTGACGCCCCTGCTGTCCGCCTATGGGCTGGGCTGGCTCAGCGACCGCTACCACCGCAAGATCTCCATCTGCGTGTCGCTGCTGGGCTTCCTGCTCTCCCGCCTGGGGCTGCTGCTCAAGGTGCTGCTGGACTGGCCGGTGGAGGTGCTGTTCGCGGCCGCGGCGCTGAACGGGCTCTGCGGCGGCTTCTCGGCCTTCTGGTCCGGAGTCATGGCGCTGGGCTCCCTGGGCTCCTCCGAGGGCCGCCGCTCGGTGCGCCTCCTCCTTATCGACCTGATCCTGGGCTTGGCGGGGTTCTGTGGGAGCATGGTGTCCGGGCATCTTTTCACGCAGATGGCGGGGCACTCCGGGCAGGGCCTGATACTGACGGCCTGCAGCGTGAGCTGTGCCTCGTTTGCCCTCCTCTACAGCCTCTTGGTGCTGAAGGTGCCCGAGTCGGTGGCCAAGCCCAGCAAGGAGCTCCCCACCGTGGACACCGTGTCTGGCATGGTGGGCACGTATCGCACCCTGGATCCTGATCAGCTGGACAAGCAGAGTGTAGTGGGGCACCCTCCATCTCCCAGGAAAGCAAAGCCCCAAAAGACTGTCATCGCCCTGCTCTTTGCAGGTGCTATCATATATGACCTGGCAGTGGTGGGCACAGTGGACGTGATGCCCCTTTTTGTGCTGAGGGAGCCTCTCAGTTGGAACCAAGTGCAGGTGGGCTATGGTATGGCTGCAGGGTACACCACCTTCATCACCAGCTTCCTGGGTGTCCTTGTCTTCTCTCATTGCTTCCGGGACACCACCATGATCATGATTGGGATGGTCTCCTTTGGGTCAGGAGCACTCCTCTTGGCTTTTGTGAAAAAGACATACATGTTCTATATTGGTGAGTCTGGCATTCTTGGGGCGGTAGGACATCGCTGGCCCTCTGTGTGATGGGGCTGACACCAGGGATGCTGTGGTCTTGGGTATCCCAGCTCAGTGCCAGGGATTGAACCTGCTACCTAGGAGGCACAAGGGAGACGCAATTATGTGCACCTGAGCTTATCTGTATTGCATTGTTAATTATCTGTATTGCTGATTGAAATGTTACAAGAGTGGTACTCAGCCGGGCTCGGTGGCTCAGCCTGTAATCCTGCGCCTTTGGGAGGCTGAGGTGAGTGGATTGCCTGAGCCCACGGGTTCGAGACCCGCCTGGGCAGCGAGACCTCATCTCTACAATAAATCAAAAAATCAGCCGGGCATGGTAGCGCATGCCTGTAATTCTGGCTACTCGGAAGGCTGAGGCGGAAGGATCGCCGGAGCCCAGCAGGTAGAGGCTGCGGTGGCCGGGAGCGGCCACTGCACTCCAGTCTGGGCGAGAGAGTGAGACTCCAACTCAAAAATAACAACAACAACAAAAAAACAAGAGTGGTACTCATGGCTCTAGGAGGTCAAGGAGGTGTGGTCAGTGGTACCTGGACTCAGAAGAGGAGGCTTCAGGATGGCCTTGAATGAAGGAGATAGGATTGAGGTCCCCCCCACTTTTAAAGGGAGAAAGCATTAAGTCAGCTGAAAAGGCTCCTTAATTAAAATTATTTGGGGCCAAGCAAGGGCTTCTGTTAAAGGCATAAACATTCTCAATAAATGTCTCCCACAAGTAATGTAATAAATCCCCTCAAGGAAGCAGAATGAAATTTCTGTCTGAGGACACAGGTCAGACAACCTCAAGCAGAAATCTCTAGACTAGTGCTCCAATAGAACTTTCTACAATGATTGAAATGGTTGATATCCATTCTGTCCAATGCAGGAGCCATTAGCCCTATGTGGCTATAGAGCCCTTGAAATGTGACTAGTGCAAGTAAAGAACGGAATTTTAAGTTTTATTTTATTTTTTTGAGTCAGAGTCTTACTCTGTCACTCAGACTTGAGCTATGATTGCAGCTATGGGGCAGCTGAGTTAGTGAGACACATTTCTGGAGGCAGTTTGCCAAAGCTCCTAGGACCATCTCTCAGAGATGTTCACTAATGTCGAGAGCAGTTATGTCTCTCCTGGGGAATGAGAAGGGCCTTGTGTCACTTTTCTCCTTTTCCCTAGACATCACTTAACTCTACTAATAAAGACACCTTCTACCATCTGTCACCATGTCAGCTGCCCCCTGCCACCTTGCAGATTGGTATGCAGCACACACAGCAGTGTCAGAGCTCAGGGAGTCAGAGACTGTTCAGGTGAAAGGGATTGCTTGCCCACAGAGAAATGACTTCTTCCAGGTCAAGCCACTTACCGATTATGCGGAGAGGGGATTTTAAGTGAGGCTTTATACTTCATTCTAATTTCCTCCTTGGTCAAGCCTGGGTTACACTGGGGAATATTTTGTGTGATCTCTTTACAGCTCGTGCTGTCATGCTGTTCGCTCTCATTCCCATCACAACCATCCGATCAGCTATGTCCAAACTCATAAAGGACTCCTCTTATGGTGAGTAAAGAAAATCTCTCCAGACTCTTCTGTCTGGGCTGTTTCAGAGGTGCTCAGCTTGAGGTTCAGAGTTGCAGAAGACACTTGAATGTTCCAGAAGCATCCTTGAATACATGAGGGACACTGGTTTCCATTCAGGGCAGGAGGGTAGAAACAGGAGGGCGGGAGAGACTCAGAAAGTCAGTCACTGAAAAGCCACAAGGAAAAGTATTACCATCCACAGGCCACAGGAATACCTAATTAGATAGAGGCAGAATTCCAGCAGGTGTTGTGGCTCATGCCTATAATCCCAGTCCTTTGAAAGGGTGAGATGGGAGAATCGCTTGAGGCCAGGAGTTTGAGACCAGCCTGGACAACATGGTGAGACACCCCCTCCCTACCCTGTGTCTAAAAACAATTAGCCAGCCTGGTAGTGTGCACCTGTAGTCCCAGCTACTCACTTGAAAATCACCTGAGCCCAGAAGTTGGGGCTGCAGTGAGCTATGATTGCACCACTGCATTCCAGCCCGAGTACCAGAGTGAGACTCTATCTCTATAAATAAGTAAATATATATCACAGAACAAAAAAGATAGAGGTAGGATTCCTAATGAATTGAGCCATGAAGGTTGGAAGAGTGAGGGGTCCCCCAAGAGTTTGCTCCCAGAGACCCAGCTGGTGAGGAATGGGGATGAGACAGCAACACATTTCTTGGTAACCTCTGTCCTTTTCACAGGAAAGATGTTCGTCATACTGCAACTGTCCCTGGCTCTGACCAGTGTGGTGACATCCACCTTGTATAATAAGATCTATCAGCTCACCATGGACAAGTTTGTGGGCACTTGTTTTGCTCTCTCCTCCTTTCTTTCCTTCCTGGCTATCATCCCAATCAGGTAAGATGGGCACAGTGTCTGCGGCTTGGGCTGAGCCCTGGTGCTTAGGTCAAGGAATGTTGGACCATTTCCAGCTCACCATCATAGAATTATCCATTTTCAGCACTTATGCAGTAGGTTCTGAGTAAATGCTCTCACAGAGAAAAAACGTCCTCTTGCTTCCCAAAACCAATAATCTGGCAATTTGGGAATTCCTCAAAATCACAAGTTAAAGACAGAGGCTTTTATTTTATTTAACCCACTAGCTCACTTCCTGGCAGTTTTGTAAAGACTATTTATGGGTGTTTCTTAGACTTCCCTGTAATCAGAGGCTGTGATTAGAAACTCTCCTGAACCACTGAGACCTCTTTTGTTTAACTCCCTTCAGGTGAAAGTCATCCTACTTCACTTCAGAGTACTATTTCTTCTCTGTGCCCTCAAAAGTATCTGTGCTCGGTGCCACTGAACTCTCCTAGCCACTGGATTGTGAGCTTTTGACAGGGCCTTGAGCAATTCTCTTGACTTCTCTGGGAGAATTATTTCATTTGTAAAATAAGACCAGTCAAGTCTGGGAAATGACAGGCAAGAGGAAGGCTGATCCCATAGAGAGGACTAGTCTAGGTCATCCACAAAATATATGGAAAGAGAGCAAGGAATAATTCTGTCTTTGACCATCCCTGTCCCACAGAAATATATTGCAAGCCACAAATACAAGACACATTAAATATTATAGTAGCCACATCTTAAAAAGAGAAAAGTGACAGGTGAAATTCATTTTCATAACATATTTGATATGTAAAAGATCATCTCAACATGTAACCAGTTTACAAAATTAATCAATGAGATCTTTTGCTTATTTTTAAGAGTCTTTGAAATCCAGTATATATATTTTTTTTCTTTTTCTTTTTTTTTTGAGTTGGAGTCTCACTCTGTCACCCAGACTGGAGTGCAGTGGCACGCTTCCGGCCACTGCAGCTTCGACCTGCTGGGCTCCGGCGATCCTTCCGCCTCAGCCTTCCAAGTAGCCAGAACTACAGGCGCGCTACCATGCCCGGCTAATTTTTTTTTATTTATTGTAGAGATGAGGTCTCGCCAAGTTGCCCAGGTGTGTCTCGAACCCGTGGGCTCAGGCAATTCACTCACCTCGGCCCCCCAAAGCGCTGGGATTACAGGCTGAGCCACCGAGCCCGGCGAAATCCAGTATATATTTTATTCTTATAGTACATCTCGATTTGGACAAGTCACATTTCAAGTTTTTAGTAGCCACATGTGGCTGGAAGTTCCCATATGGGACAGCAGAGCTTTAGACTATTAGGCCCTTTTACCCCTTCTTCTGAAGTGAGGTTCTCCCATGTTCATATCAGTGCTGCTAAAAGAGAAAGGAATTTATGTATCCGTATAATAAATACACCCACAATAAGATACAAGGGAATTAATATAGATTTGCATCTTCAAGGAAACTGCCTAGCGTACAAGAGCTCTATGTATCATTAATGGTGGTATTATAGGCAGCAGAGCAGAAAATTATGGAAGAAAGATTGAAATGGGATAGTGATAAAGGCCCTTTTGCAATTCTCACTTCACATAATAATATAGGTCTGTAAAGAGTGGAATCGTAGACATTGGAGACTACACAAGGGAGGGGGAGGGCTGGAAACTTACCTGTTGGGTACCAATGTTCACTATTTGAGTGATGGTTACATTAAAAGTCCACACTTCACCACTCTGCAATATATGTGTGTTACAAATCTGCACTTGTATTCCCTAAATAATATATAAACACTTAAAAAGAAAAAAGATACATAGGTCCTTGCCTGGATAGAAAGGTGAGCCTCCTGAGACAGGAACCATCAATCATTATGGCTCTTTGCTTGATTTCATAGTTGAGAAAAGATATGAAGATCAAACAGCTGAGAGCATTTGTACAAACAGTAGGCATGACCAGCTCTCACTGCCTAAAGCACAGCCTGAGTCAGATCTGTCCTCAACTGTCCAACCCTTAGGCCTTTTCTTATGCTCCTGCTTTCATTTGAATTCTGGCTGAGTGGGTTGGACTGACTTAGCTAGGGTGTCCTGCAATGCAAACTTCTCAGGAGTCCTGGCTCTCTGGCCAAGTTGAGTAAAAGATTGTTCATTTTGCCTGCTTGAAAATTATCTAGTTCAATTTCACTGGCAGTTGGTTAAAGTAGTCTCTTCAACCTAAACAAACAAAATCAAAAAACAACTAAAGAAAATAAGTCTTACTATTAATGTGTGTCCTAAAGACATAAACAGACAAATGAAAGTAATGAGAAAATCCAAGTAGGCACATGTGTAAACAAAGCCAAATTTTAAAATTACTGCTATCAGGATCCCACCTCCAGAGATTGACTCAGTTGATCTGTGGTGCAGACTGGGCAGAGGAAGTTTTAAAAGCTTTCCAGGTGATTCAAATGTACAACCAAGATTGAGAACCGCTGGCATAAAGGAAGTGTTTCCATTACCTTTCCTTTCCATAAAGTCACTAAAGAAATGAGATCCTGAATAATTCTTACAGCTAGAAGAGGCCAAGGTTGTACCATCAATCATTAAGTGAGAGTAACAGGAAAGACCAGTAAAGCTTTCTAACCACAGGAAGAAAAGCTACGTTCTGATGACATAAAAACGCAGGCAAGCATGGTAGAGCAGAGGAGGACTAGGTGGGCAGAGGCTGGACTGGGTCAGTCTGCATCCTCTTCCTTGATGCCAGGAGAGGTCCCTGGGCCAGAGCTGCTGTTTTCAATCCCAAGATTGAAAACCCTTCCTGGTACCAAAGTGAGAAATCTCATGCTACTGTGAGAAGCTGCCCTCTCCTGGCTGCTCTTCTTTAGATGCAACAGGGAGACGCTGAGGAAGTAATTGTGGGGTTCTGCTCATCCACATCCTTGTCCCCACACCCCCTCCAACACATATGCATTCCCCTAATGCCTCATGCTTCATAGAGAAAATAAAAACCATCAGAATAGAAGGACCTGATCTTCTTCAATCTACAAAGTTATGTTCATTTGCACGCTTCTCTCCCTCCTCCTCCTCCTCGAAACAGGGTCTCTCTTTGTTGCTCAGGCTGGAGCACAGTGTCACAATCATAGCTCATTGCAGCCTCTAAATCTTTGCTTTGAGTGATTCTTCTCCCCCCTAAAGTGCTGGCATTACAGGCATGAGCTGTAATGTTCAGTTGCTGTTGTTTTTAATGATAACAATAGCAAACACTTAAATAGCCCTTACTATGTGTCAGCCACTACATCAGAATAGTTCATATATTTTAACTAATTTAATCTTCCCAAACAATCCTCTGAGGTGATTACTACTATTATTCCCATTTTACAGATGAGGAAAAAGAGCCTCCAGGGTATTACATTAACTTGCCAAAGGGTACACAGCTAGGAAGTGGCAGAGACAGGATTTGAACTCAGGCAGTCTCTCTTATCCACTACATGTATTGCTTCTCAGAAAAGCCACCCAGTATCGGGGTGCCACTTCACCCACTTCTGTAAAGAGTTCACCTGCTGCTTGACTGTCTCTCCTGAACTCTTCTGCCAGAGCTGACATGTGATCTGCCACCCCCTCTGTCCTCCTCTTGGTAATCAGATTCTCCAAAGGCAGGTCGGCATGTGCTGTCTCAGGTTCCCACCTCCCATTCATTTTCCCGCCCATTCCAGTCTGACCTCCGACCCTCAGTTTCAGCAGAGCTGCTTTCACTAAGACTTCTGATGCTTTTTGTGTAGATGAGTCAGCCAACGCTCTCTGCTTCTCATCTCACATGAGTTCTTGGCAATCCCTAATGCTGTGGATCACTCTTTCCCTGGATAGTATGTATCACTTTCTATTATTTTAAAGATGTGGGATATAATTCAGGGTTAGGTACATAAGTGGTCATCATACAGTTGGAGTTTGGGTCTCACTTCACCTGGTTTGGGATCAGGAACACTTATGGATGTTATGTGCCTCTCCCTCTCGCCTGGCAGTGACCTGCTACTGCCAATCCCTTTCAAGTACTATTATGACAAATGTTCCATGTCCACTTACGAGTAAGAACATGTGGTACTCAGCTGTTTCTGTGATAGATCACTGAGTATGATGGTCTCTAAATCCATCCAAGTTGCTGCAAAGTCCATAATTTTGTCCTTTATGGCACTGTCACTTGCTTTATAACACCTCACTCTTCTGGTTTTTCTCATACCTCTCTGATCACTTCTGTACAAATCCCCAATGTAGGAATTATTTGGGGCTCTGCTCTGGGCTGCCTTCTCACTTTACATTCTCTCTCTAAGCAATCTAAAGTACTTCCACAAGTTAAAGTTATCATTTATACTTAGAAAATCAGGGCTGAGCACAGTGGCTCACACCTGTAATCTTAGCATTCTGGGAGGCCGAGGCAAGAGGATTGCTTGAGCCCAGGAGTTCAGGACTTGCCTGGGCAACATAGAGAGATCTCTTCTCTACAAAAAATTTAAAATTAATCAGGCATGGTGGCATGCACCTATAGTTCCAGCAACTTGGGAGGCTGAGGTGGAAGAATAGCCTGAGTCCAGGAGGTCATAACTATGGTGAGCTGTGATCATGCCACTGCCCTCCAACCTGGATGACACAGTGAGACCCTGACTTAAAAAAAAAAAAAAGAAGAAAAAGAACCTTACAAAATCAGGTTCTTGATGCCCTCCTAAAGCTGCTCTCACTTCAATTTTTCCCGTCTCCTTAAATGGCACTACCTCACCCAGGGTAGAAACCAGAGTCACCAGCATCTTCCTTCTTCATATCCCTCCATCTCCAATCCATCAGGTCTCACTCATTGATTCTACCTCCAAAATATGCCTCAAATTCATGCACTTTTTTCTCTACTGCTACTACCCCTAGTCCAAAGCACCCTGATGACTGAGTTAGCCTCTGAACCCTTCTCTACACTCCCACTCTTGTCCCCTCTTCCCTCTAGTGGCCAGAGCAATTTCCTTAAAAAGTGTTTATCAGACCTGTCATCTGCTCAATGCCCTGCACTTGGCTCTCATTGCTCTTAGGATAAGGCCCAAACAGCTTACCTTGGGCCACAAGGTGCAGCATTAGCTGGCTTGGCCATCCTCTCTAGCCTCCTATTCCTGCCACTGACCACCATCCCCCCGCCTCTGTCTTCAGCCACTTATCACCTCCCCTCCCGCCCTTCACCTTCCTCACCCACACCTAGTCGTGGTCTTCACTGAAACACCATTTTCTCAAGGAGGAGTTTTCTAACCCTTTTCAATCTAAGTTAGATCCTTCTAGTCCATGCTCCCAAAGCTGCCTATATTTTTCCTTCATAGCATGACAATTGGTGATTGTTTAGTGATGATCTGTTAACATGCTAGTCCAATAAACTGGAGGCTCCCTGAGGTATGGCTGTTTGGCTTACCACGTATCCTCTGTGTGCCCAGCAGAGACCCTAGCATAGAAGTAGTCAAAAAGCATTTGTTTGATGAATGAATGCCCTGTCAGAGTGTGTGACACCTTTTACAGTACTGACCTAGTAAGTCAGCACTGCTGACCACCCACATCTCAGAGCTGCCTGGGGCTGACCATGAAATCAGGGGCTGGCCATCACCTTGTGGCTGTGAAGGGGTCATGTGGTCCTGTGCTGACTGCTTCTAGTCTTGACCATCCAATTGCCAGCCTGGTGTGAGTTTTGAGTAAGTGCGTGCTCCTCCTGGCAGGGCCCTAGGGCTCATAGCAAGTGGAAATCAACCTGTTAGAAAGTTGCTAATGAAGCCTCCCTTAAAAGGCTTGAACTAAAGCTCCCATCCCATTTAATGTTGTGCATTCCCATCAAGAAGTGCGTGCTTAGCCGGGCTGGGTGGCTCAGCCTGTAATCCCGTGCCTTTGGGAGGCTGAAGTGAGCGGATTGCCTGAGTCCGCGGGTTCAAGACCCGCCTGGGCAGCAAGACCTCATCTCTACAATAAATTTAAAAAAAAAAAAAGAAGTGCCCTGCTCTAGCTTAGAACCTGAGGATTCTGGGCTTCACACAGATGCCAAACACAGGACCCCAGAAGTTGACAGGCATGCCAAATGTCACACAGATCCAAGACTTCAATTCAGACCTCCTAATTGCTATACATCCATTTATCTACAAATAATCTTACACAATGGACTTACGGAAGAAATAAAGGCTATGGAAAGGCAGATGATGAGAAAGGTAATTCTACTTGGGATTAGCAAGAGCTAATCTTGATCTTGAGATATACATGGGAGTTCATCATCAGGCAGAAGTGACAAGAAAAGAGATTCCAGGAAAAGGAAAATGTAGGTGCAAAGGACTCATGTTATGGGAAACAAGGAGAAGTTCTGTACCTGCAGGACTGGACCAAACCTAGAATAAGAGAAGTTCCTTTGACCCAGCCCACTCCACTCAGTGCAGTATTGATATCGTAAATGGAAACAAGCCTCCCAGTCTACCAGTGATAAAGAGACGGTAATAGAGAGACCTCCTCGACACAGATGGGGAGGAAAAGGCACACCTTTTGTTCAATTACCATTGTGCAATACACCAAAACAGTGGGAATTGCAGCAGAGAAAGAATTTAATAATCATAGCAGCCAAACGAGGAGACAGGAGGAAACCTTAAGTTCACCTCCCTAAGAGGTTTGGGGTAGGGTTTTTAAGGGGGTCTGGATGGGTGATGGGCTAAAGTGTGGCAACTGCTGATAGGCTGAGAAGTGAGGGGTAAAGTCTTGGGACAGGGAGATGAAGAAATGGAATTCCTATATTGAGTCAATTCCTTAGTGGAAGACTTCAGACCAGTTGGCAGAAGCCATTCTGTTAGAATTCATGATCTGAAAAATACCTTAAGCAAGTCTTGGGTTAAAAGGTCCAGAGAGTTTATATACAGGAACATGGAGGAGCATGTGGTCAGTGTGCTATGTGACTTGTGGTTAGTTAGTAGCTGCAGGGAAGTGGGCTGCAGTGCACCAGCACATCCTGGTCAATGCCTAACCTAATTCTGCCTAAACCCTGGCTTGTAATTCTCATTAACCCTGTGAGGATGGTTTCACATTTACCCCATTGCAGCTATTCTCTTGTAATTGTCTGTGGTGAATTCTTACAGCATCGTGGCCTATAAACAAGTCCCATGGTCACAATATGGAGATATCACAGAGAAATGAAGGTGCTGACCTGCAGGAGCTGAAAACATCAGCCATGGCCTGGCTCCCAGGAGACAAAAGAAGGGACCAGGGAACTGGTGAATAAAGCAACTCACTGCCCAAGAAACTCAAGTTCCAGCCAGAACTGGCCTCAGAATGACCTGCTCTGGCTCAGGGGTCCTTGGTGGGTGGAAAAAAGCACATTCCTGGTGATGGAAAACTTTCTCAGCTTTAAGATGCCCCTATTATGCAGGGGTTAGGTTCCACAGGCAGCAGAGCATGAACTCAAGGGTTATATGCAGACTGCACACAGCCATCCCAAACCCTGTAAAACCCCAGGTACAGAGAGCCAGCCAGCCCCCTTTCTTCTAGGGTTGAGAGCTCCAAGGCATGGCTAACTAGTTGCCTGGGTGCTGTGCTAGAAGTCCCACAGAAGAGCTCAAGCCAAAGCATGCATTTTCAACACCCTGAGGAAGATGTGGAAGGAATGTTTTGTAAGAACTGCCATCTGTTTTATACAAACAACAATATCATTTAAATTACAATAAAGCCTTGAAAAAAGTTAGCTTTCTTTCCTGAGGCCTCCTTAGTTGTGAACACTTATAAGGGAGAGCAATGGAGCTCAGGCCCTTGACTTCTGGCTAGCATTGTTGTTATTGTTGCTTTTAAGAAGCAAATATCAAAAGACTTTCTTCAATGGAATATTCAATTGAATACTTTCAGTCAACAATACTTCCCAACGTGGGAAATGTGAAAGAAGAGGAGATACATTAAGAAGATTCTCCTGATAAAATCAACATTCATAGCAGGAATGTGTGAATCATTCTTTCCTAGGTCAGATTCCTTCTATAACTACAGACACAACATTCACATACTGGGTAAAACACAAAGCTAAAGAATGCATTGAAAACTCAGGGCATTTGGGCTCAGAAAGTTTTATCTCTAATCCTCTTGTAGGAAATGAACACAACTTGACATCTGCTAGGTCCCAGCACCATGCTCAACCTCTCCAACCAACCTCACCAAAATGCTTGTTCCTCTTGACTCCTTGCCTTCCATTCTAGCCCCTTATCTCCCCAACCTTAATGAACCTAATCATTCCTGCTTCTGGAGAGTCAGCTCTTAATGTTTAGAGAAATTCCCTTATTTGTCCACACTGATCTCACTATAAATTTGTGGTTTTTAACCTGAGATGGGCTCTCAAAGCCCAAGTATTGGTTCCTTCTCAACCCCACCTGTCACCAGGGTAGCAGCTTCAAACCTTTTCAGGTCTTCTTGGGTCACCATTTCTTCTAATAGATGTTTTAACTCCGTTGGTCTTGGACGGGCAGCATCAGCATCACCTGGGAACCTGTTAGAAATGAAAAGTCTGGGCTCCCACCCAAATCAAACTCTAGGAGTGGGTACCCAACAGTTGGTGTTTGGCAAGCTCTCAAGTTTAAGAACCACCATTCTTACCTATGGAGCCTGAGATTTTCTCCTTAAGAACATTCCCTGAGTCCTCCTCCTTTCCCTGCATCCTTAATTTTTGAGGCCCTGAAGCCCGTTCTTGTTCTCTTCCCAAGTCCACTGGTCTATGCCAATGGACTCCAGAACTACATTTTCAGCAGTCTAGTCAACATCCACCTGGATTTCCCCAAACATAAATGCAGACCAAATTATTCTTCTCCCACCAACCACCTAAGCCTACTCCATCTTTTGTATTTCTCTCATGATTGATTTCAGTTAATGGTATCGTATCCAGCTTCCAAGCTGGAAATCTCCAAGCCATCTCTGACCTTTCCCCTTCCTACAGAAATCTCTTAACTCCAGCTGTTCATTTTTACCTCCCTCACTGTATTGCTTCTTGCTACGCCCTTTGCAGTCTAGTCTCAACTCTTTCCCAGTCCTTTAGTCTGACCACAATCCTTTAAAAAAAGGAAAAAAAGAAGGTATATCCTGCTTTAAAAAAAAAAATCAACAACTGGCAAAGCATACAGGAAGGATTATTATTCTTAAGATTTAAGTTGGCCATATTTTAACAAGTAACAGAAAGTCTTTCCAAAGGGGCTTTCATACCGTGAGTGCCCACCAGACACTTATATTCTTTATATATCTTAATGCTAGTCCTATCGGTAACCCTATGGGAAAGGCTTGTCTTCATTTCGAAGATCACAGTACTAAGTGTTCAGAGATGTGACCTGCCTAAAGTCACATAGCTAGTAAGTAAAAACACTGAGATTTGATCCCAAATCTCTCTCTCTCTTATTCCACCTTGCTGCCTCATTTTTTATGGCTGCAGTCTTAAGATTAACAACGTCTATCAGTATGTCAAGTTCAGTACCATTTTAAGTCCATTTAAGTCCAATGCATTACCATCACAAATAATCGAGCATTCTGACCTCTAATTTACAATACACTCTAATAAATCACAGACATTTCTTCTTTACTTATAAATTCTTCAAAAACACCATAGTAGCCAAACAAAACAAAACAACAAACAAACAAAACAGGAAATGACTAGCCCTGACCCAGAATAGAATGTGTTTTGCTACGGGATGGAGCAGGAGGAAATCTTTCATGTAATAAATACTTGGGCTGGCTGTGAGCCTGCCTGCCAATCATGGTAGTTACTATACTAGGTGATTTCTTCATCTCCCCATATTGGTGCCAACTTGTAAGATACAGAAGAGGGTAAATTGAGGAAGAGTTTATAAAGAAGTAAAGATTAAAAATAGTTTAATTATATGTATTTTTTTCTGTTGCTCTGTATGTCCTGATATATGTATGTCCTGATATATGTACATATGTCCTGATATATGTATTCAGAGAAAATAAGAAACCAGAAATAAAGGCACACATGTTTTTCTGTCCTACAAGAAAGGTACAAATGAGAACATGACTCAAGGTAAAGAAAGCATCTTTTTGTAGGTTTATTGGTCCATTACTTAAGTTAATTGAGGTAAAGAAACTTTTTAAAATTTACAAGCTAATAGTTTATCAAGCAATACAAACTTTTTTGTTTACCTCAAAATGTAATACTAATCCCATAGTAAACAACAAACAGAATTTTTTTTATACACAGATATATGAAAAAAAAGTGGACAAAAACCTCATGCCAGCATCAAAAATTTAACAAAAACAATTTTTTCCCATTTTACAATCTCTGGGTTCCATAACAAAGACAAAAAAAGATGACATTCTTTTAAAGTTTGGTAGCTTCATGAAACAGACTTCCATCTGTAAATAAAATCACTTTCTCTTATCAACACTCATTATCTCAAGCACTTTTTTTTCACAGCTTTTGTTTTGGCTTAATGGCAGCATGAGAGAAGATAACACATTTACAGAGGACTTTATCAATACCTCAGAAGGCTTTTTTTCTCTTTTAAAATTTTAAACATAAAGAATGATCTCTAAAAATAAGAAATAATTTGGACAAATCCTAAGCAAAAGTTTTAAATCTCTTCTTTAACAGTTAAAATACAAGTTAGAAAGTTTGCTGGCAGTTTATTTCATGGGAACATATCAGATGCACACCATCTCTCAATGCATTCCCAACTCACGGAGATGAAGGGAACAGGCACATGGAAGTACAACAGACAGGGGATCTATTGGACAGGACCAACACCTCGGGGCATCCAGGTGAACGGTGCTGACTGTAAGGAGATGCTGGTTTGTTATCAGATGAAGGCCCAGATGCCACTAGTGCCATTGCTTTATCACACTGAGTCACATTTTTGGTTTGCAATCTATTTTCCTCCCCCCTCATGTCCACATGGAGAAAAAGTGATTCCCCTTTCCTCCTTCCAGTATCATTTCTAAGACTATGAACAAGCCTGCTCAACAGGAGTGTTGACAGGTGTCACCTGCTGTGACCTGGCCTACAGAGAGCCTAGAATCACCTACTAGGAGGGCGGTGCTTCTGGGAGAGGTACATATGCAACACTCTTCATCACCAGTTTTAACAGTAAAAGCTCTGCTAAAATGGACTTCATTATGTGAGTTAACGTAACATGTTTTATGTTTTTGGCATTTCAACCTGTGAAGAATTTCTACCTGAAGCATGCTGCTCTGAGGCCCCCACTGTATCTTAAAAAGCTGTTCTGGCGAATCAGGGTTAACCTTCCACTTCTCATCATCTATAGTGTTCTTTGTATCTGTATGATTTGTCGCTGCTGATACTATATCCTCTAAAATCAGAAGTATGCCAAAGGCACTAAATTAATCTTTCATACTTAAAAAAAAAAAAGTTGTGTGGTCCCTGTGTTTCCTTACATTATCAAAAATATCATTTGGCAGTAGCAATAATTAGTTTTCTCCTCCCAAAAGGCAATCCCAAGGACGGCCCTCAATTTTTTTGCTTGTTTCTTTAAAAGGACTGAGGACTGACTATGTTAGATATTATTGAAGGTGATGTTATATCTCTAAAACTCCTTCTACCCAGAACTTTTGAACAGTAGTTGAAAAATAAGGCATATTAGTAGGTATTGACAAATTCTCAAAAAGTAGAGTTGGGTTTTTAACAGTCTGTGGCATTTTTAAAACTCTGGATTTGCCCATTTTCAAGTGCTAAATATACAGAATGTTTATATATGAGACATATCTTAGTGGTTTTTTAAAGTTATTTTTTCAAAGCATTTATTTACATCTATTTTCAAAGCATTTATTTATAGTAGTAAAAACTACCTGGAAAACATTTTTCTGTCACAAAGAAAGGGTCAGACGGCCATGCCAAAGGATGCATTCCAAATACATATTAAGAAAGAACAGTCAATCCCAATGTAACTAAGTCCCCCTGCAACCTTTTCTAACACAGACAGCCCCTGCAAACACTCTGATATATGTAACTATGGGGAAACCAGGCATCCTTAAAACAAAAAGCTGACAACCTATAAGGTGGGTCAGTGAAAAAGTGGGTTCCTGGTTTATTCGCTGAATTAAAAAACCACAAGGAAGAAAATAAATTCCAACACAATCTGTGAAAGGTTGGCCTAGGAGAGAATATTTTTTTTCAAATTTACTGATAAGTGCCACCCGCCAACTGAACAGAGAAAACATAAGAAATGAGGGCTTGTCCAATCTGTTGCTATCTTGAGGACTTTTGAAAGTGAGTCAGCAAACCCGAATTGCCAATGTAATTTTGTAAATGAGGGTGGCTAAAGCAGTGTTAACTCAGACATGTAATTAGATCACCAGTTTCCACAGTCCCTTGAAGTAGGCATCTGGGAAGGTGGGGTCCAGGTTGTTGTGCCCTGCACTGACCACAGGCAGCCCATCTTCTGAGAGGGATCACCCTCTAGGGCCACCAGCAGCCCCATCTAGCCAGTGTAGAGCCCAGTTCTAACCCACTTCAAGACCCAAACAAAAGAGGCCAACACAGCCCTCAGAGGTCGCTCTTGACCTCCCTCTTCCTCCTCTCCCACCACCTCAGGATAGAGTGCAGAGAATGACTGTCCTAGACTCTAGTAATAGTGTCAAAACAGAGCCAGATGCCTACGATTTCAGTGCTATCAATGGCCAGGCCAAGTCACACAAACTCTAGAGATGTTCCTTAGGCCATGGTCCCAAGAGAGAAACTCCACTTGCAGACTGCCACATGGTCACCATGCCCTCCTCTAAAGCACAGCTTCCTGTCATTGGGATCACACAAGACAGCCGCACAAGAAGAGAGCATTTGATTTCCCCATGTGGAATGGTGACTGACAAAACACATTCAACTCAATACCATCTAGAACACATTCAGGGTAGGGCTGAAATTTGGCATAAAAACACATTTACCTTGCAGTCACCATGATCCCCAGAGTCATGCTGGATTATTATTTCAGCTAAAGAAGGTATCTGATGAGACGAATGAATGGCGTGATGAAATACCAAGTCAGTCACCTCCATAATCACATTTAGGGTTCACCAGGAATCATTATAAAGCCTTATTAAAGAATAAAACCCAACCCCAAATCTGGCTGGGGAGCATGTTCCCTCCTCATTTGGGAACAGTAGTTCCTCGCTTTGGGCAGATGAGCCTAGAATTGTCTTCTAGATCACATTCATAAGGAAGAGCCGTGTCCATACTTGCTACAAATCACAACTTTCTTAACATCATTTGCATCTCTAAGATCTGCTCAGTTCCTAGGAATCCTCTCTTCTGCCCTTGCCTGGATAGTTAACCTGGGTGAATGAAACCTTTTACTGCCAGGCCCTGGGCAGTCGCTAAGGATGACCTTCCACTCCTTCCATTCCACCACCATGTGCTCAAGCCTCAAAACCTGTCTATGCCTGAGGTAAAGTACACCTTCAAGCAGAAATCTCAAGAAAAATAAATGTAAGAGGGAGCCAGAGATCTCAGGGCCATGGTTTTGTGAAGCTAAGAAGGACAAATGGTGATGAACCCTCTATAAGGCAGTTTTTGGCACAGAAGTCTCCGGGTGATACTTTGTGCTTGAACAAGATGAAGAGACAAATGCTTGGGATTGCTGACTCTCAAGAGGCCCAAGGGAGATGTGGGGGTGGAAAGGGCTGGAGAGTCTCCTTCACTGCCTGTTGTCCCCTTTCTTGTGAACCAGCCTCCTCATCCCATCAGACACCAACATGAAGGGACAAAAGTCCCTCTCTCTGATAGGACCATTTCTCCAATGACGTTTGTAATGTGCACTAGCTTTCCTGGCTCTGTAATCAATAGTATGCCTGGAGAACAGAAAGTCTGCCTTGTTCCAGCTCTTTCTGGTATCTTAAAGCACAGGGCATCACATGGGGCCCAAACAAATAGACCAAAATAAAATCCCAAGGTTCCCGAATCCCTTCAGAGCCAGTCTTCTGCCTTGCAATAGGAGGGAATGACAGTGTATTTCATGCCCCTCCCCATGTCTCCCAGCAAGAAACTTGATGATTTTTTTTTGAAGTCCTGCCTTCTTTTCCAACTAACTTGTACACAGGAATGTTTCTGGGTTTAGGCAACTAGCAGGTAGTCAGATTCTAGTTTTCCTGTAACTCCAGTTTTTTCCAAACATCCGTTACGTTGGCAACATTTTTAAAGCACATATTTCACAAAGCAAAGCTTCTTATGTTCCCAAAGATAAGCATTTGCTGTTGGGTTGGTCTTCTGACAAATATCAAGAGGGCTGCCATCTTACTATTAGACACACACCCTGATTCTCCCAGCATAGCATCAGGTCAGACTCAGGTGTCCATACCCATACCAACATGATAGTTTAGAGGTAGAATGAAATGTGGAATCACCACTCGGGGTTGTTCCTACCCTTCTGCTTCAATGAATCATTTCTAACTGTACCAAACTGAAAATTCACATCAAAGGATTTTAGAATGGCACGAATGGGGTTTAACAGTATAGGCAAGTACCAACTATCACTTAAACTGCAATGTCATCAAGCACAACGACAAAGAACCAAACCGTCCTATGCTGTCCATCTGCTACATCAACAGCACCATAGCTGTGCTGACACAATGTCAACCCTACGATTAGAAGTGGGATGAAGTGACTTCAACATATATTGCGTGATGACCAGCATGTGCAGGTGAACTGGCCTATGAAGCAGTGCCTTAATACAGCTGCTTCTTTAAAAACAAATCTATTTGAGGTTCAGACTCATAGTTTTAAGGGATGATTCATAGGTGAAAAAACACAAATGTGACACACATAGCTTCATTTCAGGAGGAAAAAAAATGAGTTGAAGATAGATCCTTTTTGATTGTTTGTTTTGTGATTTGAAAAGTAAACCTGGGCCAGGCTCGATGGCTCAGCCTGTAATCCCAGCACTGGGAGGCAGAGGTGAGTGGATTGCCTGAGTCCATGGGTTTGAGACCAGCCCGGGTAACCTGGCGAGACCTCGTCTCTACAATAAATCAAAAATTATCTGGGTATGGTAGCTTGCGCCTATACTTCCGGCTACTTGGAAGGTTGAGGCAGAGGATCGCCGGAGCTGAGCAAGTCGACACCGGGGTGGCTGTAAGCATGCCACTGCACTTCAGTCTGGGTGATGAAGTGAGACTCTAACTCAAAAAAAGAAAAGAAAAGAAAACCTGGTAATAGTTTGAAATGAAGACTTTGACACAGGCAGTAATCCCCAGGAATTTGGCTGCAAACTGAGGAGATTTTAGCTTAGCTAGAATCAAAGAGTTTGCTGTTACACTTGTCATCTTCAGGTCCATCCAGGTTCTTCCTGACCAGGAAGAATTTTAAAGGTTAAATGTTAAAGGTTAAAGCACTTTATGTAGAACATTCGCACTGAGTTTACAAATTTCGACTGTATCATAACAGCACGACATATTAGCCCTCTCACCAAAAGCTTGCTCAAACATTCAGTGGACACAGTAGGAAATATTAAACTAGGTATTTTTGGTGAGGTAAAGGCAAATTGCACAAAGCAGACACTGGAGGTGGGGCTTGGTATATGCCCACTGGTCTCAACAACAGGAGAGATACTCTGACTTCAAGACAATAGAAATTCCCTAATAGGTCTAATCCCTGCTCTGATGACAATGAACACGAAAAACACTGAAGACCTTCAAAGAAAAAAAATGCACCTTTTTTTTTTCACTTTACACAAAATGTTTTCAATCTATTGCATTCTAGTGTCAGAACAAGCTTGGGGAATGTCTCCCTCAGCTTCCCAAGGCATCACAGAAGGACAAGGACGCTGGCTTGCTCGCTCAAGGATGGATGCACATTGACACTGATTTAAATGTCTCTACATGAAACAGAAACAAGAAAACAGGTATCACTCATCACAAGCAGGCAGCAGGCCACACTCAAAGCTACAGGCCACTGTACATTAAGGACTTTCCACGGAGGCAAGAATACCTCCTTCTAGGCTGAGACAAGTCAATGCCCACAGGGATCAGTTTCAGAGCCGCCATGTTTCCACAGAAAGCAACAGCCACCTTCTATTCCTGCCTCTTTCGCATCTTTGAAAAGCAGGCCCCAGGTTCTCTCCCACAACAGGCAACTCAGCTGTCCCGAAAAAAGGAAACTGTCCTGAAATGGCAGAACATCAGCTGAGGGTTGTCTTGTCCCTCAGCTTCAAATCTTCGAAGTGCTCCACTGAATAGGTTTCTTCACAACATGGAGGTATGCTTCTTTTGCTGAGAGATGATTCTAGCCTCACAGACTTCACCAAGCAATAAATACTATGAAAACAACTGTGGGGCGAAGGGGGAGGGGGAAAATACACAAAGGAGAGATGTTTCTGTGGGTGTTTTCTCAGCGCCGCCTCTCTGGCACTGCAGGGACATTCCGGTATGGGGTGCCATGCCCTGTGTAGGTAGAGGAGTCTCTGTCCCAAGCAGGAACTTACTTGGCCTCCTGTTTCTCCTGCAGTAGTGGAATAATTGACTCCCACGCCATGAGGCACTGAAACGACAACATGCACACACAGTATCAGCGTCAAGTTTCAGACTTCAGAGTGAGCTTCTCAATTCTGCTCTCTCTGCCCTCTGTCAGTCCTGCTAGGTCACCTTTGTCTAATGATGCCTCTATGTAGCAGCCATAACTATTCTAAACAGGGGAGGTCACTGGTGTATGTTTTGAATGTGTCACCTCCATCTTTATGAAAGACAGCAGTGTCTCTATAAGATTTAAATGCATTCGTGTTAGTCCATAAAGCTTATATCCAGAAAGTAGAAGTGGATTTACTGGAAGAAATTCTTTCTCTCGAAAAGCAGAAAAGAAACCAGGCAGGAAGCCCTTGGTGAGGTTCCAGGCTCTCAGCAGGGATGGAGACACTGTTCCAAGTGTGGGTGGGGCCTGCACAAGGATGTAGTTCAGAATTGGAATGAGCCAGTCACACGAGTCAGAGTGGGGGGAAAACCCGCCCTTCCTCATCAGCGGCAGATTTGCTTGTCTGGGCCACTCCTGCATCTCCCCAAACCAAGAATGGGGGAGGGGGACCCGATATTTACAGAGCTATATTATGTCCAAGCACTGTTATGTACTGTATGTTAATTATCACCAGTCCTCACAAACCCTTTATGAAGTAGAAGCCTTATTTATTATGCACATATACACCCATTTCATAGATGGGGAAAATGAGACTCAGGTTAAATAAGTGGCCCAGATTACGGGGGATGGGAAAACACCTCTTATCAACAGGGTGCTGAGTGAAATGTAATTGTACACCTAATCCTTAACTGTACCCCACAAAACCATAATAAAAAATACTGATTAATGAAAAAAAAATTTAAAAAAATAAGTGGCCCAGATACACAGCTTGTACATGGTCAGAGCTCATGATTCCCATACTGTTCCTTCCATTACACCAATCTCTTTTCATTCCAGATGCTTGTGAAAAGCCATGAACTTAGAGAGGACTCGGGAATTGTCCTCTGAGCACACGCTGCTTAGCAAAAATGATCCTCCCTTTGAGCAGTCTCTCGCATGAAAAGGGCAGGTGAATCGCAGGCCTTTCTTAGAAGCAACCCAGGATGGAGGAGGATTTTGTATTGAGTCATCTGGGGAGGAGTTCTGGGGAGGTGGGAGGAGGGAGGTCTCCTTACATCAAGCTGGGAAGATGAGTGATGAAACCACTCCCTGATTCCTTCCTTGATAACGCGGAGGTCAGAGGGGAAGCTAGACTCCGAAGCCCGCCTTATATGAGGAGGGCAGTGTGGGGTCCATGGCATTCCAGGCTCTGCTCTCTCCTTGGGCCATCACCTTAGATCTGGAATGGTCCTTCTATACCAGTCATGAGGAACGAGGCCATACCAGCTTTCTTTTCCATCCTAAGATGCACCAAACTCTTTTTTACCTCAGGGACCTTGTATATATGTTGACCTCTTTGCCTGGAACACATGCTCCCCAGAGCTTTGTCTCTGAGACTCTGATTACAAACACCATTTCCTCAGACTGGCCTTTTCTGCTCACTTCACCTGCCCTTTCCACCTCCAGTCTGCATTTTGCCCCCTAGTACTTCCTCCAGGTTTCCTGTACTTTTCCTTATCATGCTGAAATTGTGGGCTTAACACATATGCTCCACTAGACTAAGGATGCCTGAAGGGCAGGAACGCTGCCGTTTATCAATCTTGCACACACAGTCCCTTGCACACAGCAAGTTCACAAAAAGCATTTGTTAAATGTTTGCAGGAGCCAAGATTAGGCCCCGAGATAGCAACTCTGTTGGTGGTACAGTGGGAAGATAACAAAACACAGACATAAGACATGGGTTTGAGTCCTGGGACCGCAGCTTTGGGAATGCTGGGATTAACCACCAAGAGGAGTGATGGAGACACCCACCTAGTTGGTTTTGTAGTAGTGGGAAAGCTGTTGAACAGCAGAGGGAAGGTGAATCAAGGAAGGAAGGAGCATTGACTGAGTGCCTATCATTTCTAGGTATGATTTAGGTACTCACACATACATTACTTCACTGTATCTTTATAATCATTTGGTGGAGAAGAATCACTCCCATTTTACCAATGAAGAAACAAGAGGCGCAGAGAAGTACCTTGCCTAAGGGCCTAATCAATAGAGGAACAAAATCTCAACTTCAAATGGCGTAATCTCTCCTCCTCTGGGCAGACAGGACTGTCCAGAGGACGTGTGGCCCCTGACCCCTAAGCTGACAGTGTATCAGAACTGTTCAGATTTACAGACTCATAAGAGCTGACTCTGATTCTAGTTCAGTCACTACAAGCTGTGTAACCTCGGGTAGAGTTCAAGACCTTGCTAAACTTCCGTTTTTTTACCTTTAAATAGGGAATCATCAAACCCACTTGATAAGTGTGTTAGGTGAGAGTTAAATGTAATGAGATGACACATGCAAAGCATCCAGTCCAGGGACAGTCCAGCATAATAGGGAGTCTTCATAAAAGTGCAGAAAAATGGGCATGCCTCCTTTCTCCTTCCACTTTAAGATATGAGGGGGACCCAAAAAAACTTGGAATGTATTTAAAATTATGTATTTATTCTTACATGTTTAAACTTCAGTCACCCTCAAAGTACTCTCCATTTGATGCAATACACCTATTGAGACGCCTTTTCCACTGCTCAAAGCAGTTTTTGAACTCATTAATTTTGATGTCTTTTAATGCTTCTGCTGTTTTTTGTTTCACCTCTTCCATATCGGCAAACCTTTTCCCTTTGAGAACTTTTTTCATCCAGGGAAACAAAAAGAAAGTCGCTCGGGGTGAGATCAAGTGAATAGGGAAGGTGGGGCACAGGGTCATGCTGTTTTTGGTCAAAAACTGCTGAACACTCAGCGTAGTATGGGCAGGTGTGTTGTCATGGTAGAAGAACCAGTCACTTGTTTGCCACAACTCCTTTCTTCCACAATGTAGCCTCTCACAACAACGCTAGCTGGTACATTGATGTTGATGAATTCCTAGAATACTTACCTAGTGGGGAAAGCCTGTACTACAAGGGGTCTGTCCTTCAAAAGGTAATTCTGGGTGTTTTTTGGTCTGTCCTCATAGTCCTTCCCTAAGACCTGTCCCATGACTGCTTCCTGCATCCTCCTCCAAATGAACTTAAAAAGATGCAGACACACTGCCTCTGAACGGCCGCTAGAGCCACCAAAGACTTCAAAAGAGATGGCTTCTTCAAGTTTTAGACGAGGACATGTTTCTAGCATTGTGGTGTGAGTAGCTGAGTTAATACTTGTCCAGCATGCTAAGAGGCTGCCATATTTCAAACAGTCTGATTTAAAGTCTACAAGTTACTTGCTGAACTGTGATCAGGCTATTCTCCATCTGTAACTTTTAAGCTGTTAAGGAGTATCAGGATTCATTAGCAGAAATGCACAGCTGGATATATTAGGAGCAACCCTTGATTGAGAAGACTAGGCTGTAGCTTGATGACAGTCATCCGTGAGCATGTGTGTATGTGTATGTGTGTGTGTGTTCACACGTTGGAGTCCTTAACCTGAGTGTGTGTGTTCACACGTCAGAGTTAACCTGAGATCCACAGATCAAGGGGATCCATGAATAAAACTATTTATTAGAACTGCTTTCCCTTATAAGCCTACATTCCTTTATTTTAATCATTTAGAAATAATATTTTTAGGTTATTGTTTTAAATAATTTTTTTAAAAAAACAGTATTTTGGAAAGGGGTCTATAGGCCTCACCAGATGGTGAAAGGGGTCCATGGCACAATGAAAGTGAAGAACCCCTATATACAGAAACACAAGACAATGTAAGGTAATTCCAAAGCCTCCATTAATTGTGCTGGTGGCTTCCCTACACTGAAGGTCTGACCAACTCTGGAAAGTAACCAGGCACCGGGCCCAAAGAGCATGGAATATACAGTGCTGGTTCCATCAGCACAGTGTGCAAGGGAAACCCCTGGGAATAACCAGGGCCTCTGTTCCCAAGCCCAGCACCTCAGCCAGCACAGCTGGACAAAAGCATGAAGGAGGAGTAAAGACCAAGCAGATAAAATAAAGGAAGGAGATAAGCCTAGCAGGACCCCAGTTTCTAGATTTCTGGCAAGCCCTTACAAAATGCTCCAGCTACTAGAAAAGGCAATCTTTTGGGCATACTCATTACCTTCTCATAATATTGGATGTTCTTGTCGGCCATCCCCATGAGCAGCTGCCGGAAGTCCTGCCTCTTGTTATTCTGCCACCTCTCCATGTCAGCTTTCAGGTCGGCATTAAAACACTCCATCCGATCTTGACACTTCTCAACATCTGCTGGCACCTGGAAAGGGGAGGCTTAGGTGAGTGCTTTGTATGCATAACTGGCATTCCTGCCTTCAGCTTCTCTCTCACACGCTTGTCAAAAGCCAAAGTACTACATTAACATGCTATCAACACGCTCCTTCCTCTGGGGCCATTTATTTGCAAGCAGAACCTTGGGTTTTCAGGTCTAAGGAGGAGTTCCAAAAAGGCCTTAACACAAATCTTCAAACCTACCCAAGAACAACAGAGACTCGTGGGGGAAACACCCTCTCTATTTATACAAAAGAAGAAAAAACATTGCAAGTCAGAGTTATATGTCTTTGGTTCCTTTTAGGATTGATCTATCTATACTTTAAAATGTATGCAGACTTTGCAAATGCCCAACAATATTTGGTATTACCCTGCTATTCTCCTGTGTCCCATACTGGAATTAAAAAGAAGTAGGTTTTCCCAGGTTGTATGAACTATTCCATTACTTGCAACATTTGATAATGCCTTTCCCCATTAACCAGAGAATTAATTACAACAATAATATTATTAGCCAGTCTCCTCTTCAGAACCCCAAATTATAAATAAACTAGAAATTTGTCTGTGCTTTTCCAGAGACCAGATAATAAAAAATAAAGAATTAGAGTTAGGTAAGTCTGAGAAAATAAGAAGAAAGATATTATACATGTCAAAAGAATCTGAAATACAAAGAATAAAAATACAACAAGCTATTTCAAGTTTTTATTAAACTTGTCACCCAGGCTGGAGGGCAGTGGCACGCTCCTGGTCACCGCAGCCTCGACCTGCTGGACTCTGGTGATCCTTCCGCCTCAGCCTTCTAAGTAGCTGGAACTACAGGTGCACACTACCATGCCCAGATAATTTTTTTATTTATTGTAGAGATGAGGTCTAGCCAAGTTGCCCCAGCGGGTCTCGAACCCGTGGGCTCAGGCAGTCCACTCATCTCAGCCTCCCAAAGGTGCGGTATTATAGGCTGAGTCACTAAGCCCGGCTTATTAAAGAGATTTAGAAGATTTTCTCAAAAGGGAACTATGTCACTTGAATTTTACAACTTTCACTTTGCTTTGGTGAGTCTCACTCATCCTACACAGCTAGAGAGGGCCTCATGGTTGCAGCAATTCCCAAAGCACAAAGCTGACTTCTTTCCTCCTAATTCAAATGCTCCACTGGGCTCTGAGGGTAGCCAGGGGGACAGCACGCCCAAAGCTGAGGCAAACACCCACCCACCAAATGCTTCCCAACAACAAGCAAGGCCTTGTAGGTTTTGTGTGCTAGGGCCTATGAACTCAACTATCTCCAAGCTATGTGTGAGTCAATCTCCACCAACCAAAAGGGTTTTACATCCAAGCCTATGGGCAAGGAACTGACCCAGAATGGCGCCAGTGTGGAGAGGCCAGGCCTGAGGGAGTCGGACACCTCAGGGAGCTTGGCCATCTCCTACCCAGACTGTCTAAAGATGGCTGCAGAACACAGGAGTAGGGGAAGACACACAGCCAAGGCAAGGAGATTCAAACATGCCTGGCATGAGAGTGAAACCTGGGTGGGAAAAGGATGTAGCTGGAGAGAAAGATATATCAAGACATCCCAGGCAGCCAGCTTAAAAGAAAGGAACTTTTCTGTTAGGAGGGGGAAAGTAGCATTCTTCAAAGCACTTAATTTTCTGGAAGAGAGAAAAAAAAAAAAGACTGTCTTTTTGTTTAGATGCCATGACTGAAGTCACTTTTCCCACTGGGTCACCCATTATTATTGCTCACCTAAGAAGAAATGGAAATAAAACCCAGAGTACCCTGCCTTTGCCTCTCCAGAGTCACTCGCCACTCCCTGACAAACGTCCAAGAATCAGCCTTAAGGATAGAGGTGAGCAAGCCACAGTGGTCAGTCTCAGCTCCCTGCAGCCTCACTTCCATGCCCCTACTCCTCTGCCTACTAAACAAAACTCCTGCTGTGAGGAGAAAAAGCTAAACTCTGAAAAGAGAACCTCACTGGGGTACACAGAGAAGGGGCAGCTGGGGTCGCTGATTCAGAGAACTTCTTATTGAGGAATGATTCCTGGGTTCTGTCCTGGGGATGGGAACTCTGACTGACTCACAAAAATTAAGATTCCATGCCATGGCTCTGGATTTTACAATTGCCTGAACCTGTCTAGGAAATTTTTAGCGATCATTCTCATAACACACTCTATGCTTGGCATTGAGGAATATGAAAATGCCTAGGTCTCAAACAGGCAAACCTTGTCTCAAGTTACCTACAGTCTAGCTGGGGAGAAAACAACATGCCTGGGCACTAAGGTGAGAAACCATGAGTGCTTTCACTTTACCCTGAGCCCCATGAGAAGCATGCTGAGGAGGGGCTGGAGAAGGAGTCCAACCTGGAGAACATCAGGCTTCATGGGGAAATCAGCAGTGAGGCAATGCTTTCAAAACTGACAGAAGTGAGGAACAGGACAATGGGAAGATATTCCAGAATGACAGTATATGCAAGCGACAGAGATTCCCACCTTGGGAATCACTCGCAGGCCACGGTGCCCACAAAAGTGTAGAGCGAGAACTGCAGCTGGCAAGCTTGCAGGGACAGTGGGTAGGAGACAAGGAGCCCAAGACTCTTCCAGAAGGCCAGGTTTTCTGAGGCCTGTTTAATTCATGCGTCTTTTAGAGAAGAGAAAAAGCCTCACATTTCCTCTAGCTGTAGCAGACTACTCTAGAACCAAGTTTCCAGAGTCTGCATACCCCATCCACCACTCACCACATGTGTAACTTGGGGCCTGGGCCTCAGCTTCTTTGTCTGGATAATAATGCTCTCCACCTTACAAGGTTGTGATGAGGTTAAATGGGATAATATGCGTTAAACAATTGGTGCCTGGCATGTATTACATGCTCAATAAACATGTTAGCTTATATAAGCATCAATATTATAATTTGCTCTTCACAGAGGATAGTCCATCATTTGCACAGCCCCTCAAGTTAAAAAAAAAAAATTTTTTTTTTTTTTTGAGCCAGAGTCTTACTCTGTTGCCCAGGCTGGAGTACAGTGGCAAGCTCACAGCTACCACATCTTTGACCTGCTGGGCTCAGGCAATCCTTCCACCTCAGTCTTCCAAGCAGCTGAAACTACAGGCATGCATCACCACGCTCAGCTAATTTTTTAATTTATTGTAGAGACAAGGTCTCGCCAAGTTGCCCAGGCTGGTCTCGAACCTGTGAGCTCAGGCAATCCTCTCACCTCAGCCTCCCAAACTGCTGGGATTATAAGCACAAGCTACCACGCCTGGCCCAAAGATATTTTATTGAGCTTTATTCCATGTATTATAACAAATATTTTTTATATTTTCCAATTATAAACTATATTATTGAATTTTTTTCTCAAACTTTATGACCCACAAAATTTCCCCCATACTACCTCACCGTGAGATTTCATCACACATCAGAGATGAGTCAACTCCAAACTATATACTGGCATGAAAATCGCATTGGGCACCCTGGGACCAAGGCAGTGGGAGAGGGTGGATTAAACCAGTCTGGTGGAGACAGTACTGACAGATTTGGCAACCGACTTCCCATGAGAAGTAAGATACAGGGAGTCGGAGAAGAGTCTAAAGTTTCTAGTCTGGGTGACTGGGTGGCCCAAGTGCCACCAAAAGGCTCAGGATAAAGGACAGTTCCACAGACCAGAAAAAGCAGGGGGCTGCAGCCAGGATAAGGGTGAAACCTCCCTCCATAGAGGAGGCTGAGATCATCAACACCACCACCAAGAAAACACATCATTGCTAAAAGCTTATGGAAAGAAAGAAAAAAAATTTAAATGTGCAAACATTTCTCCAAAGAAGATATACAAATGCTCAACCTCATAATCATTAGGGAACTTGCAAATCAAAATCACAGTGAGACAGACCCTCACATCCGGAGGATGGCCACTACCCAAAAACCAGAAAACAAGTGTTGGTGAGAACATGGGGAAACGGGAATCCTGGCACACCGAGGGTGGAAGCATAAAATGGTACAGCCACTACAGAAAGCAGTATGGAGGTTCCTCAAAAAATTAAAAATACAACTACCATATGATCCTGCTGGGTTCCACTTCTGGATATACATCCAAAAGTATTGGAAGCAGGATCTCAGAGAGATATTTGTATACACATGTTCAAAGCAGCATTATTCACAAAATGTGGAAGTAACCCAAATGTCCACTGAAGGATGAATGGTTAAACAAAATGCAAACACACACACACAAGAGACAATGGAGTATTATGTAGCCTCAACAAGAAAGGGAATTCTGACACATGCTATAACATGGATAAATCAAGGATATTATGGTGATTGAAAGAAGCCAGTTACAGAAAAAGAAATGCTATATGATTCCACTTATATGAGGTACTGAGAATGGTCAATGTCATAGAAACAGAAAGTAGAATGGGGGTTACCAGGGGCTGGGGGAGGGGGAAATGAGAAGTCGTTTAATGGGTATAGAGTTTCAGTTCTGCAAGATAAAAAGAGCTCCAGGGATTAGCTACCCAACAATGTAACAATGTAACACTCCTAAACCGTACACTTAAAAAGAGTTAAGATGGCAAATTTTACACTATGTATATTTTATCACAATTGAAAATAATTTTAATATAGGAAGGAACAAAAGCGGGAGTGAGCTGAGGAGGGCGGGGCCCAAGGGAAGAATTCACGGAAAAGCTAATATGTGTAGGTTAAAGGACTCAGAAAAAGTAACTAAGAAAGGTAGGTATAGCAGTAGGAGGAGGTGAATCAGAGAGAACAGTGCCAGAGAAGCCCAGGGATGGTGGGAGTTAGAAGAGGGCAAAGGGGCTTAAAACTAAGAGAATAAAAGGAACTGTGGTGAGCTGTCTAATGTGACCAGCTTATGAAGTTACCTAACTTGATGAAAAGGATTCCAGAAACTCATACTCAGGCCCACACTCTTCTTGCCCTGGTTTCTTTTTTTTTTTTTCTTATTGGTTTCTTTTTTGATAACGTCTTTGCAATGACAGTTGATTTACTGACCAGT